CAAGGTGAACTGCAAAAATTTAAAATGAGTAGAACTGCAGGAAGGAAGACAGCTTTCAACCTTCCCTTTTTTTTTGCGGGGAATTCCCTTATTCCAGTGCCGTTTCCCGCTGCTATCCCGGATTGTTAGATATCCCGTAGACTGTCCCCGGGACAGGTGAGACTGCTGATGCCTTATTTTCAAATCTGAAAGTTGACAGCTATGCTAGAGGCACATATCCAATGGCAAAATTGCATTAATGTCTATTGAGAAACTGCTACTGAATCCAGCGAGACTTATTCCAACCTAAGTATGCAATAGGACTTTAGCCCAAGTTAACTTAACCAGAAGTTACCTGTTATGCAATCACTTTTTTCAGTTCCTAAATACCCAAATTATTAAACAAGTTTGGTGGCTTAAATATATATATATATATATATATGCTTTCGTAGATTTTCACGGGTACAGGAATGCAGGTTTTGGTGTCCTCGGGTGTCTTCCCGTGTAAAAGTTGGGGTGTCTAGGCGACGTTTCGACGAGGTCTCACTCGTCATCTTCAGGCTGGTGCTTTCGGCTTCTTGTTACTGGAACAGAGCAGGATCTCAGTGTTTGAGTTCCTATAAATACTGTTGAGGGGGTGTGGTGTATAGCCTCCAATGTTCTGGGCAGAGAGGAAGTTCCCAGGCTAGTGTGCCTTTTCTTCTTTTGTTCCTTAATTACTTGAGGGATATCTTGAGTGATTTCTTGAGTGATATCCTGAGTACCACTTAGGTGGGTCATTAGGTGTGGATTAGTTGCTAAAGCCTTCGTGTCTTGACCTCTTGAACTTTGTGAAGAGTTTTTCTGAGAAGATGGCTGTACTGCACTTAGTTGTGCTCTGGCTTGGCTTCGTGTATAGGGGCGAGCTGTGGTTTTGTGTCCTGTGCCAGCCAGATCTGTGTAGGGATTGCAGGGGGGTGCAGCATCCGGAGGTGCCACCATGGTTTGGCTACTGGATGGTGTCTGTAATTTATCTGTGGAGAGGGTCTGGGTTTGGGTCTGGTGTGGTTGATTGGTGATGGCGTTCTGTGTGCCTCTGGATCTGGTGTCGGTTTTTGTGGGGAGGGCTAATTTCCAGATGTCTGGCAGGCGGGATGTGTCGTCACGCTTGTTCATGTTGTGAGGGTGTTTCTCTATCTCGATGGCTTCCATGATTATTCTCTTGTGGTGATGTTCCATGTTAGAGAGCAATTTGGAATCTGCAAAATTAATTTCGTGTCCTGTTTCTTTCATGTGTTGGAAAAGAGAGGAAGTTTTTTCTTCTTTTTTGACGGCATTCTTGTGTTCTGCGATACGTGCATTTATTCGTCTGTTTGTTTGTCCAATGTACGTGGTACTCAGGATATCACTCAAGAAATCACTCAAGATATCCCTCAAGTAATTAAGGAACAAAAGAAGAAAAGGCACACTAGCCTGGGAACTTCCTCTCTGCCCAGAACATTGGAGGCTATACACCACACCCCCTCAACAGTATTTATAGGAACTCAAACACTGAGATCCTGCTCTGTTCCAGTAACAAGAAGCCGAAAGCACCAGCCTGAAGATGACGAGTGAGACCTCGTCGAAACGTCGCCTAGACACCCCAACTTTTACACGGGAAGACACCCGAGGACACCAAAACCTGCATTCCTGTACCCGTGAAAATCTACGAAAGCAAATATCTCACCTCTACGGGGAGGAAACCTTCCAGCTGACAAGAACCTACGAGAAACTAGAAATCCGAAGAGCCACCATCTTATGTGATCTCTTGTTCCTACGCAACTGCCGAGACAACAACTTAATTCCCACATGCTTCCAACTTAAATTCCACTCTAAAACCCCAGCTACCGAAAGGATCCTGAAACGAACTGAACTATCCCTAATCAGAAACGAACTACATAAGAAAAGATACCTACTAAACCAAACCAACAAAGATCTGCTCACTCTTCACCTCAAACTCTGTAACAAAATCCACCCTGCACTCTGGGACAAATGCAAACAACTAGCCGTCTGGAGAGCTGAAACTGAGACCTCACATAAGACAGACACACACACCAACAAACTCCACAAACTAGAGAAACGCCAGAAGCCCAGCCACCCTCCACAACAACCCATGAAACAAACAGTACATAACATATCAGACAGGATCCTCACCTCAACTGAAACCAAAGTACTCTCCAAAGGTTTCAACTTTGCAGTCGCCCCGAGACGCATCCCCACGGAAAACATCATATGCGGAGTCGAAGCTAGCCTAACCAAAATCAACCCAGATGAAGCCAATAAAATCAGACTTGAAGTCACCAACATCCTCTGCTCCAGCAAACCACCCAGAAGCAATTTACACAAAGAAGAACAGAAAGCACTCACCAACCTGAGGAAAGACAACAACATAATCATTCTCCCAGCAGACAAAGGTAATGCCACTGTTGTGATGAACACATCGGACTACCAAGCAAAACTATCAAATCTACTCCAAGACCCTACCTACCAACCTATAAAAACAGATCCCACCACCTATCTGGAAAAAACCACCAAATCCAAAATAAAAGCCTCTCCTATCAGTGAAGAAATCCAGCTAAGAATCATCCCCAGAGAAAAATCATCCAGATGCCCCAAACTCTACGGCCTCCCCAAGATACACAAAGAAGGAACACCACTCAGACCAATAGTCAGCTCCATAGGCTCACCTCTACAAAATCTCGCTAAATTTCTCGCTAAGCAACTTCAGCCCTATGCAGAATCCATCCCTTCACACGTTACAAACTCCTTCCAGTTCATAGAAACAATAAAGAAGCAAAACCTACATCCCAATGACCTACTTGTGAGCTTCGATGTTGTATCTCTCTTCACACAAGTGCCCATTAATGAAGCCTTGACAGCCATTCAAAACAAATACAATCCCCCCGAATACATCCTGGACCTGACCAACCACTGCCTAACCAACACGTACTTCATCCACAATGGACAAAGATACAAACAGATAGAAGGAGCACCTATGGGATCACCACTCTCACCGGTCATCGCAAACCTGTACATGGAACACTTTGAAACCAATGCTTTAGACAAGTCAGAACACAAACCCAAACTTTGGCTCAGATATGTTGACGACACCTTTGTAATTTGGCCACACGGGAAGGAAAAACTAGATAGCTTCCTCACACATCTCAACAGCCTACACCCCAAAATACAATTCACTATGGAAATAGAAGCCAACAACCAACTTCCCTTCCTTGACGTCCTAATCTACAAAAAACCTGATGGCTCCCTAGGACACACTATCTACCGGAAAAAAACACACACCAACCGCTACTTACATGCACAATCACACCACCACCCTGCACAAATAAACTCCGTAGCCAAGACTCTCATCTCCAGAACCAAACGCCTGGCTGACAAAGACCACTTGACAACTGAGTTACAGAATCTCTCCAATGTGTTAATCGCCAATGGATACCAGCAAAACAGGGTTACGAAGCTAATGCAAAAAGAAACACCCCCCAAAAACCAAGACACAGAAGAAAACAATGGCATGGCCCTCCTTCCTTATATCAAGGGCACTACAGATAAAATTAGCAAAATCCTCCATAAACACAATATCAAAACAGCCTTTTGCACCAACCAAAAAATAGCCAATATCCTCAGAAACCCCAAGGATAAAATCCAGTTGGAAAACCAAGGGGTCTATGAAATACCCTGCAAAGTCTGCCCAGCCACGTACATTGGACAAACAAACAGACGAATAAATGCACGTATCGCAGAACACAAGAATGCCGTCAAAAAAGAAGAAAAAACTTCCTCTCTTTTCCAACACATGAAAGAAACAGGACACGAAATTAATTTTGCAGATTCCAAATTGCTCTCTAACATGGAACATCACCACAAGAGAATAATCATGGAAGCCATCGAGATAGAGAAACACCCTCACAACATGAACAAGCGTGACGACACATCCCGCCTGCCAGACATCTGGAAATTAGCCCTCCCCACAAAAACCGACACCAGATCCAGAGGCACACAGAACGCCATCACCAATCAACCACACCAGACCCAAACCCAGACCCTCTCCACAGATAAATTACAGACACCATCCAGTAGCCAAACCATGGTGGCACCTCCGGATGCTGCACCCCCCTGCAATCCCTACACAGATCTGGCTGGCACAGGACACAAAACCACAGCTCGCCCCTATACACGAAGCCAAGCCAGAGCACAACTAAGTGCAGTACAGCCATCTTCTCAGAAAAACTCTTCACAAAGTTCAAGAGGTCAAGACACGAAGGCTTTAGCAACTAATCCACACCTAATGACCCACCTAAGTGGTACTCAGGATATCACTCAAGAAATCACTCAAGATATCCCTCAAGTAATTAAGGAACAAAAGAAGAAAAGGCACACTAGCCTGGGAACTTCCTCTCTGCCCAGAACATTGGAGGCTATACACCACACCCCCTCAACAGTATTTATAGGAACTCAAACACTGAGATCCTGCTCTGTTCCAGTAACAAGAAGCCGAAAGCACCAGCCTGAAGATGACGAGTGAGACCTCGTCGAAACGTCGCCTAGACACCCCAACTTTTACACGGGAAGACACCGAGGACACCAAAACCTGCATATATATATATATATATATACACACATATACATATATATATATAATTATTAATTTCCTCCATGCACATGCACCGGAAGGGCTGCCGGCTGGGGGGTGGGGAGAGATTACAACCACATTTGAACTACTCCTAGGGCGATTTCAGGCGTGTGACACTCTGATGTGAAGAGCCAGAGCTTGTGCAAAGGAAGGGATGCGTGGAGGAACTTAACCCTATGAAGGATAAAGCAGCTGGGGCAACTTCCCAGCCATGAAAACCCGCTCAAAGAGAGATGCTGCCCAACCGCATCCCAACCCGGGGGTGGATGAGAGACGGCAAAGTCCGCTCCCCACTCCCCCGATTAGCCTCAAATGGCAGCTCCCCCCCCGGTGTCGCGCTCAAGGCTCCCCTTACCTGTCTAGCTCCAGTCCCAACCGCCGCCGCGACGAGCCGTGTTCAAATCGGGTGCGCGAGCCCTTATAAGCAGCGGGGGGAGGGACCGTCGTCAGGCGGCCTCGTGCAGCCGGCGGAGGAAACGGGCTTCCGGGTCCCTACGCAAAAACATGAGTCGTCACCTCTTCCACACACACCCCAGAGCGTCTAAACGCTTGTTGTTGTTGTTGCTTGCTGCTGCTGCTGCTGCAGCTTGCCGCCGCATATGTTGTTACCGGAAGTGGACGTCGGCCCCTCCTGGCCCAGAGAGACCGACGCGGGGTTCGCAGCGGTAGATTCGGTTCCACGGGGGTCGGAAATAAAACATACATTATTATTCATTATTTATTGCGAAAGATTGGCGCTTTCCCTCCCCCTTGCAGGACACAGCGCTGTCTGAGAAGAATTCTAGGGGCCGGCCAATAGGGCTAGCAGCCTCAGAGGGAGGAAGTTGTGAGGAATTGCCGGAGCGGAGCGAAAGTCTGCCTCGAGTTCCCGCGGGAGCGCTCAAACTGCCGCCAAAAGGGGAGGGAAGGAAGAAAGAAAGGGCGGGGGGCGGCGCGAGGAGGTGGGCGGGGCTCCGACCATCCTTCAGGCCAAAGGTGGGCCGGGGCCGGTAAGCTGACTCGTGCAGGCCTTATGCACGCGTAACCGAATAACCGCCTAATATTTTTCCCCCTATCCCTGTGCTTCTCTTTCCCTCTTCCTTTTTCTTGTTGTCCCGAGTCTGTTTTTGACCATGAGGAACCTGTCATACCTGTTCGTTATAAGGCGCCGTTGACATTGCTGTTTATTAATGGCAATAGCGATGTGTCAGCTGCTGAAATAAGCCTTGCCGGGTTCAGTAGGTGCTTGCTAAACAGCAAGTAAATTAATTGTGTGTAGGATTGCAGTCTGTGTAAAAAAGAGAGAGAGAAAAAGAGGGGGAATTGCAGTCTGATCCTACGCCTGATTTTTGTGGAAATAAGCTCAGTCGGAAGCAGACTCCTAACCATGTCTGCTCGGAAGTAGTCCTATAGAATTCAACGAGGCTTACTTCCAGTAAGGGGAGGTTGGATTGCAAGCAGAATAAGTGTGCACATGGCTGTAACCTTCCCAGTGCAATCCTATTTTATGCTCCAGAAGCTAGTCCTACTGGGTTTAATGGGTGTACAGTTGTAGCCTGGGTTTCCAGAGTAAAAGTGTGGTATTTGCAAAACCAATTCTTCTTTGTTTTGTTTTTGCGACCCTAAAAGTGTCACTTAAGATGAAATGTGTCCTTCCCATGTGCAAGGTTGAAAGTGGAATAGTTGTTTTCATACAACAAGCTTGAGTCCATTTTTTGCTTTGAGCTAGTTCTATAATGTGAGCGAATAATATGACTAACCAAAACATTTTAATTCTAAAATGCAACTATTCTGTGTTCTAGTCTGTACTGAGCACTTCCTATGATCTGAATGAAATAAGAATTGTAATGTGATAGCATGGCCACAGGAGATTTAAAAGGAAACTTGCGTAAAATAGAGCAAGGACTTCGACTTTTAAATTATCCAGCAGATGTTGATTATGCTGGTAAGTGCAAGTATATCTTTATTTTTATAATATTCATTGGTTCTATCAAACATGATTTGCTGGGAAAGGATCTACAGTTCTCATATCAGAATCATGTTATTTTAATGTTGCTTCTGCTTGGACTGTGGACCAGTTTTTAAAAAATACAGTATAATAAACTGACTTGTTAAAGAATAGGCAAGAATTTTGCTTGTATTCCTGTTTGGATAATAGAAGACACTGGTAGGCAGCTAAAACCAACTATCTGCAACATATTAATCCATATAGTCTGATGTTGGATGGGGAAAGGGTCATTCCAGACATTCTTTTAATTGTGCATTCATGATGCTTTGGGTTCATAATTGTATCATGGTATTGTATCATCAATGCAGAAAATCTTAAAGCTGAATGATGCCTGTGAGAGATATGTGAAGAGCCAGAGCTTGTGCAAGGAAGGGATGCGTGGAGGAACTTAACCCTATGAAGGATAAGGCAGCTGGGCAACTTCCCAGCCATGAAAACCCGCTCAAAGAGAGATGCTGCCCAACCGCATCCCAACCCGGGGTGGATGAGAGACGGCAAAGTCCGCTCCCCCTCCCCGATTAGCCTCAAATGGCAGCTCCCCCCCGGTGTCGCGCTCAAGGCTCCCCTTACCTGTGCTAGCTCCAGTCCCAACCGCCGCCGCGACGAGCCGTGTTCAAATCGGGTGCGCGAGCCTTATAAGCAGCGGGGGGAGGGACCCGTCTCGGCGGCCTCGTCAGCCGGCGGAGGAAACGGGCTTCCGGGTCCCTCGCAAAAACATGAGCGTCACCTCTTCCACACACACCCCAGAGCGTCTAAACGCTTGTTGTTGTTGTTGCTGCTGCTGCTGCTTGCAGCTGCCGCCGCATATGTTGTTACCGGAAGTGACGTCGGCCCCTCCTGGCCAGAGGAGACCGACCGGGTTCGCAGCGGTAGATTCGGTTCCACGGGGTCGGAAATAAAACATACATTATTATTCATTTATTTATTCGAAAGATTGGCGCTTTCGCCTCC